TAGATATCATTTTCGGATTCAGCGTACAGGAATTACTGTAGAACTTGTAAAATTTCAAGACAATATAACCATCGCAGGCCTATCTAATTATAAATTTTTGAACTAGAGGGTTTGTTTTTGAATTTCGCGCAAAGCCACACGAGGGCTATCTGTGCTTAGCCGTCCCTAATTTAGCAGTGTAAGACTAGAGGGAAGGCAGCTTGTCATCACCACCCACCGCCAACTCTTGGGCTACTCGTTTACCAACGAATAGTGGGATTGACCGACACATTATAACGCCCCCACGGCTGAAAGGGCGAGCATGTTTGGTGGAATGGGGATTCGAACCAGCGACCCTCAGATTGCGAGTCGAGCGCCTTAACCACCTGGCCATGCCGGGCGCTGTGAATTATATTATTATGTAGAATACAATAGTTACCGATACATTATCATTCTACTACTTCATATATATGCGATCTGTGAACAAATGTTTAGAACGAAATATGTAAGAAACAACATACTCAAGAGTGCAGTATCTTTGACATTCATTACAATATTTAATATTGTATTTAAATGGGTATATATATTATTGCATCATAAGCTACCCTAAACAAATTATTCCAATTTACTTTTTAAAATATTCTCTTTATTACATAATTCCTTTTCATGACATTACATTAATGAAAATGTATGTAATGTTAATGTAATAAACTAAAAATAGATTGGAAAGAATGTATTGGCCTATTGGTAAGAAGATGTGAAAGATAGTATGTCCGACTGCATTTACAATCAGTGTTTCAAGGGTTCATTATAGTTCATAAGTATTCTTAGTTATACAAGCAATCTGCAGCTAGCCATATATACCTCAATAATGGTTATAACTAAATCTTGGGGCATGTACGTCATTCCTTCAGTCAGCCAATCACAACCAAGCATAAATTGTTTAGTGTTAGTTGCCACGGGAACGTGGCTTGAAGTCAACAATTAAAGATTAATTTCGTAAAAATATGTGTATACACCAGTCTCTGCATTACCACTGCAATTCTTAAATAACAAATTGTAACATACTAGGGTTTTTCGCCTACATAAATACTCCAGAAAAATGATATATTGTCTTCTTTACTGATTTTTTTATATGTACACTTCTTTACTAATACCCTAAAAACATATCATAAAAATAAACTAAGGTGTTCTGTATACCTTATTAAAATTCATTTTAATCCGTTCATGTGTTGCTGATAAATAAGGCAGTAAATTATGTTAACATATGCACTAAAGTTTTTTTGTGAATAACTTATTAAGATACGGGTTATAACAATATCTAAAGTACTTTCATTCCACTTATTCATTACGAACAAAAAAAATGCTTCCTTCCAAATAAAATTAAATCACGGCGTAAATAAACTATAGAATAATTTCTTAGCTCATCAATTAAATACATAAAGGATTATATGTTAAACGTGAAGAGGAAAAAAATCATTTTTATATATTTCCAATATGTTAGTATACATATAAACGTGTGCAGTGTCCAAGCAAATACAATGTTATTGTTGTTATACTCATTTAAGTAAAATGTGTAAATAGTACTTATGGTCATGTTTCTGTAGTGATTTATATATATATGCTGAACTTCGCTATTTTTTGTGAGAAAATAATGCCTCTACATTGTTATACTAATACATTTTGGGATATAACAGTGTTTGTCGTAAAATTACAAATGAATTTGTAAATGTTTTTTAAATAGTGATCCTCATTGTATGCTTTGCTAATGCTGAGATATGTTGTGGTCAAGTGAAAGCTGTAAACTTTGGTCATCGAAACACAAGTTTATTTTAATTTTATTGGGACCCACTTATTTGTTTTAGATAAAGTTAGAATCCGTT